ACTAAGCTGTGACCCTCTTATCCTCAAATCCAGCCAAGTTTTGGGTGCCAGAATCACCTTGGATTCCTTAAAAGAAGCAAATTCCCTGATATAGTCTTCCTCTTCCCTGAGAATTGTCATGTAATAGTTTCCCCTCACAAAAGGGTAGCTCTCCCCCACCAACATCATTGCATCCTTGTAACTTGGAGTGAATAGAACCAGGTACTCTTCATCAGGCAACCCACAATGCTTCAAAACCTTGTTTTGGGCTTGGATTTCTGGGATTGATATGAAACTTCCTGGAAAGGAGGATTTTTTTGTGAGAATATCCAGTAATCTTGATGGCTCCAACTGGGTCCTATCCATTTCAGGGAGATTACTACCAAATAAAGGTTCTCTGAAGGTCCCTCTTGGTGACTTTTTCCTGTCATCTGACTTAGATTCTGAAGGTTCCTCATTGATAATAAAGCTAGACATGTCTATGCCATTCCCATCCCCTTCAATCAGGCCAGCATATTCAGGGTACTTTGCCAACACATACTGTTCAACATATTCCATTTCTTTCAGTGTTATTGGACCCGACCATCTAATGTCAATATCACGGATCGTTGATATGGCTTCTGCTATGATATGAGGAGGAATCACCACATGTGGTTTCTGTTTTTGTACAAATTATGCCCACTGCTTAATTTTCCATGGAATATATAGCATCATATGTCTGTACCAGAAACAACTAAAGTGAGAGTTTGCTACTTACCTTTATAACCAAACTGTTTGACTTGGGATTCTCTGCTATTAATTTGTGTATAGGTCCTACAAAAACATTCTGAATGTCCTTGGCTTCATCTTCTGCCATTTCCTGATAAGTTACCTGACATAAGGTATAGGATTATTCAAGCTTTTGCAATTGAAATAAAATCAACAAGAAACATAAACTGCATAAGCCATGAATGTTGATCACTTTACCCCAGATCCTCCATGATCCTCCCTGTTTGTTCCCATGGCAATATTTTTCACTCCTTAAAGAAGCAAAAGGTAGTAGTTATTTTTCAGTGTGCAAATACCACTTTAGTTTCTTCCCCTAGCAAAATTGGACAACATAAAGTTATAAAGTTAAACTAATTGAAAACCTGTTTAAGGGTAGTGACTAACGAGTCCTAATTAGAATTGGGATACCATGGACAAAAAAGAAGGCAGCTTCAAAATGAAGAATAAGGGAAAAAAATATGAAGAAAAAAGCTTATTTGAAAGGAGGACCTGGTCCAGCGAAACTCACTAATATGACATTTCTTGTTGAAGATGTGAATCTAATGATAAAATATTAAATAAAGTAAAAGAAAATGATTAAGCCGACAAGGACAATAGCAACCCTCTAGGATAGTAGGTGATGATGAACTTGTGGTGGCATCTCCTATTGCTGTAAGCATGGATTGCAAAGGATTCTCCGTTATAATACTTTTTTATTATGGGTTTGATTAAAATTTCAACCTCGCTTTGATTCTTAGCTCCATCAATTGAGGTAAAGAACACGTTATGAGTGAGAGTTTTAAGGTGAGGCTTTCCAATGGCAACAGCATCACCATCTGTGTTTATTGGTAGAGCAACGTCACAATGGGAATTTTATATTTTCGATGGAAAATGACCATTTCACAATAATGGGAGAATTTCAACAAAACCATGGCCTCATGTCATGTGTGATTCCAAGGAAACTGTGTCAATGAATCTTTTTGCTAAGCATTATATCAGAGTTACTGTTATAATTTTCCTTAATTACTGGGAAAATTGGTTAACTGTTAGGTACTTGAAAGAGACTCTGTAGTAACTTTCTGCTAGACATTAAGATGAAATCCCGGCAAAAAAACCTGAACGGAATTGAGTGGGAAAGAAATTTGGTCTGCAACTACAAGCACAATGAGATCAAATTCAACATAAAAGTAAGATTCTAGAGATTATTGTTAACAGTAAAACCATTATCACTTTTTCAACAGTTGTTCACAGTTGATTCTTGTGATGAAACTAACACCTTTGAAAATTGTGCTACTCTGTCTTCATGCTTTGCTAGGAATGAAAGAGCCATTTGACGAGTTGCAAGAAAAAAACGAAAGAAAATCATATGAAAATGTGTAGTTTGGGCAATAAGACAATTTTTGAAAGAGAAATCTCAAATTTCTATTTGCATTTAATACCTCTCCTGTGTCCATCTAAACATTAAAATATTGCTTTCACATTAAATTAATTTTTTTTATGTGAGTATATTATAATGTATTTGGAAACATGTAAGAAACTACTCAACGGTATTTAACTAATATATGTTTTTGTGAACATGCCTTCAATAAACTTTAATCATTAACATAGTCGAACTCAATAAAAAAAGAGGGCTATAACAATGTAGTTTTGATTTTTTTTTTAAACTTTTTGTGTGCTAAACTAGGATTGAGCTACACTTTTTTTTTTTAATTTCATTAAGACTACCATTATTTCATTTGATGAGTTTGGCTAAATCATTTAATTTTTCGTCCTCCAAATAAAAATACCATTTTGCTAATTATTATAAATGTTGTTCTCATCCTACCAAAGAGATACTCAAGTAAAAGCAAGCATTTTTTGCTTCTCACGAAACAATGTTTTAATATTAAAGTCATATATCTTCAAAGAATAATGATATTTTTAAAATTTCATTTTATATATAATTTACTTTGTAGAAAGTTATAATAATATGACAATATAAATGTTTAAATTAACAAGATAATTTTAAATATTATATTATTATACTATTATAATAAGGTTATCAAATTATATCCAAAAACAAAGAGTGTCAAAAATATCATTTTTCATCTTCAAACATGCTATTATTTAATATGTAGATTCAAATAATTTTGTTGAATAGACTAGGTTGAGTTTTACATTTCAACCAACTTATATAATTTGACCTATTAACTAAACGTGGGTTGAATTGAATTAGTATTGTTTCTAAACTCTTTAATCTATCAATTTTTTTATTTTATTTTTCTTATACGACATTTAAATTTATGTCATTCATGATATCTCATAAATATTTACTAGTTTTATGATTTTTTCTCTTTTCTTAATTGCATCTTATTATAATTTAGAAAAACGTTAAGACAAGTAAAATTATTAAATACCCTTTTATAAAAAATTAAGTTAGTAGGCAAACCTAACTCAACTAAAAGAACGAGCTGGGTTAGGATTTTCGTTCCAACGCAAAAAAAGGGCTTCGACCTTATTTCATAGAATCGAGTAGGGTTAACATATTTAACATTTTTAAGACCATATTTGTGAACATATTATACTAAAAAACAACACACTTCCCAACTTACATTAGAAAAAAAATATTAGTTTTACTTAAACCATCATATTTAGTAATATTTTTATAAATTTAAATTATACACCTTTCTTTTATAATCACAAATCTGCATTCTAAAATTCTACCTAACTTAATAATAGAACTAGGGTGGGAAACTAATAAGACTATAATCTAATAGTTATTTAGAATCTTCACCAAAGGAAAGCCAATATTGTTATGATTTTGTGATATGAAAAAAAACACTTGTATAATGTTGAATTGAAAATTGAAAGGGAAAATTATTAAAGTATTCCTGGTCTCGCGCTAAATGTTGCGCGCACAATCCATAAAGAACGCTATTTTTGTTTTCCGGCAAAGTAATATGTTATTGTTAGGGGCAATTTCGTCTTCATCGGAAGAGTTTCTCACTTCAGAATATACCAGCAATAATCTTTCTAAATTATTAAGAAAACATAAAAATTTCAACCCCAATATATAAATATTTATGATCTTTATTAAGTCAGACAGAGGTGATTTGGCCGTTTATAGATGCCAACTCCTATGTTTAATATAAGACAAACAAAAAACAAGTGACTGAATTATTGTGTGTAAGTGCATAATTCAATGAATCCGAAGGAAATGTTGAGGCTCCAGACGGGGCTCTTCTATTATTAACTTTTCATTTTTTAATATTTTATTAGTATTATGTTTTTTTAATAATATTTTAAAAAAATCATCTATGTTATAAGAATCGATAGTTTATCTTAATGACTCACTTAAATCAATATAATACGAATGAGCTCACTTAAATACAATATAAATTAAAAATCTAATAACAGGAAGAATCTTGAATATAAAGTTCATTGTATCGAAAATCTTAATAAGAAACTCCACAAGTTGAGCATTAAGTTTGTAAGTGAAAAATCCAAAAATCAGAAAGAGAAGTGTAAATAGGAATCAATCATTGCTCCCCATCACAAACCTCAAATCATTTCATATGAAATGAGAAAAGCTCCTTAGTCATAAGTGCTGAAATTTCAACAGAGACCCCTCACCAACCGGCTAGCCATCTTAAAGCTTACTCAAGATCACCAAACAAGCATCCAAAAAGAAAACATTACCACAAACCAAACTTAAAGGACGCATGTCAGCACCCTAACAAATGATTGAAATGAACTTTCTTTCTAAATGAGACATGTAGCTAAATTTCTAAGCTTAACGCTTAACCTGCAACCCCAACAATTAGGTAGCTAACAGCAGCTGGATGAAAAGAAAGAGGACACTTATAACAGAAGCAAAGCCATCTCTTCCTCCCTACTCAACAATATGAAAAGGACCACCATGAACAGTTATTATCACCAAAATCTCACAATACTATGAGAAGGATGTAATGTAACAGCAGTTTTTTCAAAGGAGAGAGTAAAGGAGCATTCAAAAAAATTAAGATGCCCCCTGATGTACTTCATTTTCGTCCTCTCCTATCACCTCTGGTTCAATTTTCTCCTTCACTCACATCTCGAGCACAAGAAAATCATATTTTCTGTGTTCACAAATACTGGCAAGGAAGGAAAGGGATGAATCTTACCAAAAAGAAATTCATCCCCATCCTTGTTTTGATCCTTTCAATCATATCAGTCCTCAGACTTCTGAGCCTCAATGTCAAGACTTCACCTTTTTCAACTGGGATATCTGCTTTGTTTCCAGCTCCTCAACACAATTGTTCTTCTTTACCTTTGTCCACCTGCAACAAAATTGCATCACATACTCCCAACACCACAACCACCCTGACCGAGAAAGAATTCAGAGTTCTTTCAGATCTCGTTGCTCTTAAATCCCCATGCAACCTTCTTATATTTGGATTTCAACCCCAGTACCTCACCCTCTCAAACATGAATGCTGCTGGTAGCACCATCTTTCTTGATGATGACCCTGATAAAATAAGCAAGGTAAGAATAAACTCCAACAACACTGAAATATACAGATTTGAGTCTAACATGCCAACAAAAGCAGGTTACAAACTGCTCAAGCACGCAAGGCAGAACCCGGCTGCATGTGTACCAAATCCTAGACTCCTTCAAAAATCAAAATGCAAGCTTGCATTGAAAAACTTACCATTACAGGTGTATGAAAAGAACTGGGATGTCATGGTGGTAGATGGACCCATTGGGGATTCACCAGAATCACCAGGCAGAATGGGGTCCATTTACACCACTAGTGTACTGGCAAGAGCAGGGAATACATCAGATGTAATAGTACATGATGTAGATCGTATCATAGAGAAATGGTTTTCATGGGAGTTCTTGTGTGATGAGAATTTGTTGTATTCTAAAGGGAAGTTATGGCATTTCAGAATCAGAGGTCTCTCAAATTCCACAAGATTCTGCCCTGTTGAGGCAGGGATATAGTACTCAATTTTTATTTTTTATTTTTTGTTTTCTGTTACATGTATGATATACAAAACTCACTAATCTATTAACATTTTTCACCCTAAACGTGCCACTGGATAAACAATGTTTCAATTTCAACTCCCTGACTATCTATCATAAACATATACAATCAGTGGCTCAAATGATAATAAATGTGAGGCAGATACAGGTTATCTTAATAATCTTTCAAGTAACTGAAGGTAATTTTCAGTATTTTGCTTACTACGATGGACCATGTTGCCCCGGGGAAAGCAGAAGCATGTTGCAAATCAATCCCATCTAAGATTGTAAACAGAATCCCACGTTGAAAAATCATGCTGGTTGACATAAACTCGAAACGATGAGTCACTGAAAAAAAATTGTGCTGATCAACCATATGAAAGTTTCAACAGCCAAAAAAATTGGAAGGATTCTGCAACTAACGGGCAACACAATGATCATAAGATAGAAAATCCATGATGCATACAGAGTCATCACCATCACACTCAACCTTCTC